ATTATTATTATTATTATTATATGACGTCCTGCGATTGACCCCCCATCTGTAACTGCCGACCAGATTTCTTTTCAACGCCCAGATGGAAGTCGTACGGCAGGTAAACAACGTGTGTTCAAGAACCCAGGCACAGCCATACTCGGAGTTTTTACAAGATGTTTTTTTTTTTAAGTAGGTCATTGTAATCTACACTGACAGGTCTGTCTAGTATGATACTGCAGAGGTGGTAGGAATGATGACTTGCTGTCCTTTCATAAACCATCAACAACACTGCCATATCTGAAATTATCTATACACAGTACAACATTTAATACTAGAATACGTAATCCCATATCAGAATATATTTAGGCTATGATTACTTGCAGGGAAATTGTCCTAGAAAATATAGGTCTCTTGAAGGCTCAAACCCCTTTTCTTAATAATGAGCAACTATTTATTCCTAACGCGTAATGAAACATTGAAACTAAAATGTTCATTTTCTACAGTACAGCATTAATCATAGTTGCAGGCTGAACCTAAAAACGTCCTACCTAAAATAAATCATTACAACATTTACAGAATAGTCAATCATACTTTGAATACCAAAATGAATGAATATTAATGTTGTTGTTTTTTTTTACTTTTAAGTCACATATATACAGTCACATATCACATACAGAACTTAAAGTTAAAACTGTTTAAATCACTTTCCTTGAAATACATTATTAATGTAAAAAAACAAGATTAATTGCAGCAATTGTGTCTTTCAAAATTATTAGCCACTTTGTAAAAAAAGTTGAATGCATTTGTTTGTAATTAAACCTATTTAAAGAATATAATAAAACTGATTTAGTAGAAAGATAAACATAACTTTGTTTTCAGGAACTGTGAAACTTGTTTTGGTTTATTTAAGTGTGTTCATACACTATCTCAAAATTTCTGTATTTGGAAATGGAAATGAGTAGGAAACTATTCCAAAATGATATAAAAAACACAAGACAACAAATGAGGCTGAATGTACAATTTAGGGCTGAATGCAGAAAATGAACGTGATTATGATCACTGTGCTTTCAGA